GCTGGGGGGGCTCAGCCTGGAGAAGAGGAGGCTGAGGGGAGCCCTCATCGCTCTCTGCAACTGCCTGAAAGGAGGCTGGAGCCAGGGGGGGGGGTCGGTCTCTTCTCCCCAGGAACAAGCGATAGGACAAGGAAATGGGCTCAAGCTGCGCCAGGGCAGGTTTAGATTGGATATTAGGAAAAATTTCTTCACCGAAAGGGCTGTCAGGCCCTGGCCCAGGCTGCCCAGGGCAGGGGCTGAGTCCCCATCCCTGGAGGGATTTAAAAGCTGGGTGGACGTGGTGCTCGAGGACATGGTTTAGTCGTGGCCTTGGCAGTGCTGGGTTAACGGTTGGACTCGATCTTGAGGGTCTTTTCCAACCTAAACAATTATGTGATTCTGTGATAAAGGACAGCCCAGCCCTGGCAAGAAGGACTTTGCTTCCAGGAAGCTTAGAGCTGTCCGTGAAGGGTACAGGATGCCCCGGTCAGCCAGGAGAACGCCAGCGTCCCAGCCCCTCTGACACGGCTTTGAAACCCTCCCGGCGTCATCTGGCGTCATAGACCAGCGAGACTGGCTCCGGGGACGTCTGGATCAATGGACGAGCAGCAAGGATGCTGCAGGATACGGTGGCTTTGCAAAGTATTACTGTGATTAGTAATGGGTGGGGTGGGTGTTGGTGATCAGTCCAGTTGCGTTGTGCCTGGGTGTCTGAAGGGTGTAAGAACCCTGTGTGGGGCCACATTCGGGTGCCCCAGTTTGGCAGGGACACCTGATGCACAGGAATAAACATTTTCCCTTGTAATGGTATATTTTGTGTCCTAGCCTCTCCACAGTTGGCGTGGGCTGGTTGTGAATTTTGGTGACAAGCCCTAGGAACGGGTCCCAGGTGACGCTGTAGTTAGGGGAACGACGACTCGCTGTGGGCCCAGGGTTGGAGAGTGGCCACCGGGCTGGTGGCCGTGGTGGTCGAGCTGGTCAGGCCGTGCTCCCGCTCTGCCCTGCTCCCCTCGCCCTGCCTCAGCTGCGGCCCCGGGCGCGGTGTCCCACCGGGCCGGCCGTGCGCAGGGCTCCCCACGCCAGCTCGCATCCCTGAGCGGCTGGAAGAGGCGCTGCCGCAGGCAGGCCGGGGGCTGACCCCGCAAACCCGCAAACAGCTCTCTGCAGCTGCTTTTTCAGCTCCCGTTTTCCCCTCCTGGCAGCCCCTCGTGCCTCTGCAGAGCACTGCGGCTGCCCGCTCTATTGGGTCTGCACGGCAAGGTTTTGGTAGCCCCTTTTGGTAGGTTTTGGTAGATTTGGGCTTCTGTGAGAAGCTACCAGAAGCTTCCCCTGTGCCCGACAGAGCCAATGCCACCGGCTCCCAGACGGACCCGCCGCTCGCCAAGGCTGAGCGTGTCC